AAATATCCATACCCTCCCCATAAAAGGCTGTTTGGTTTGACCCCCACCCCTTCTTACCCCTCTGGAAATTCAAGTTTAGCTTTAAAATGTTTGGCTTTTGAGATGGCTGACCTCCTCGGAATGTTCTATGACCTTCCAGGGGAAATTTCATATCCATCACACTTAATGTTACTTATTTTACTGGCAGGTGGGATGATTGTATCCAAGTGGTGAGACTGCATCACCTCTGTCATCCAAAAAGCACGATAGCGGAACAGGCTCACCGTAATAACTTGAAAGGCTTTTTTATGGTTCGGGTAAGCATTGTTAGTACAGTAGATTTGGCTATATTGCATCTTTTCATGATACCTCAGTTAAGCTCCACATTATAAAGATTTCGATTATCTTGGAGCCAAAAACAAAACAAAACAGGAAATTATGCATGTATTTTTATGTGGTTCCTCACCCCCATCTTGCCTTTATCTTATCCTGTTACAATTATGGTACATTGTTTGGAGACTTACAGAATTTGTTAGCCAACAGAGCAGGTAGTTTTGTCAGGTCTTGTTACATAGGAGCTAGGCGATGCCAATTTTTGTAAGTTGTGCCTGTGGTTGGAGATCTGCTGACTTGGAAGCTGTATTCAGCAGCAACACCTAAATGAGCGATATCCTAATTTGTTGTTATCAACTCTTGCAGGCCTACATCAGAAGACATGGTTCACCAGGATTATTGGAAAAATTAGAAGATTACATGCTACAAGCAAATAGGGTGAAAGATGTAGAAAAGTCATGAAAGTCTGTCAATTAAAGGCAACATTTACAAAAATAACCATGAATTCAATATCTGGTGTTTTATTAATTTCATTTGTTGCAAAGCCTGCTTCAATAATGGACCATAGAATGCTCAAAAGTGAGTTTACCACAAAGTTCTCAATATTTTTCTGACATCATTTATATGGTCTCCAAAGAGGAAAGACCATGGGAAAACGTGGTTGGTTTCTCTTATATATGTTTACAAAGAAATTAAAAGTTTGCTGAATTAAAGGGAAAATCTGAGTGAATTCTAAATGACCTACTTGAAGCCTACAAATGCCTTGGAGATTACTTCAATGCTGTTACAAGAAGCGTGAGATAAGTAAATTCACGTACAAAGCACTTTTTTTCAGCCTTGAGTTTTATTGATAGAATGGCCTAACTAACCTGAGTGCAGTCATGCAGTATTTACACATCATGAAAGTGTGCTATAACAAGAACAGCAAATCAGAACATTTACATCAAATAAGAGTGTTGTCATCTGAATGCAATAAATGAAGTAATAATATTTATTTTATCTCTTTTTTCATAAACCCCTGTAAGACTTGCATCCTTTCCTCAGTAAGACCCCAAAACAGCACTCTGTGATCAGACACAATATTTTCCACTTTCAATTGTTCCTTTTTTGCCCAGTGTAAAGTAAAGTAAGCATTCTAATAGGTACAAAATTGTCATAAAACCTACAAATGCTAGGATTAAAGTTCCTTTGCAGCCATAGTGGGCTGCCAGTGAGTGCTTCAATTGTGCATTGATTGATTGATAATGTTGATCCAAGTAAAAGCTGTTAAGGAGACTATGGTTGTCTTGACTCCAGAAGGCAAACCTACAGGTATAAATTTTTTCATAACTTCACACAGAGCTGCCTCAACAGAACTGTCTGGACACTTGCCAAAAGAACTAATAACATTTTACTGACAAATGCATGAAATTGGTTATCATGCTCTTCTGTCATGTCAAATGAAAAAAAGGCAAGGCTCACCATTCTTTGCCAAACAGAAATACTTGGGTTAAATATACACTGACAATTATTAGTAAAAAACTGTAACAGAATGATCAGTTTTTGATACCATGCAGAAAGAGATAATGCCATAACTTAGTTTCCTTGGCAAAAGCCTCTAATCATATTTTTCCCCTAAGTTAAAAGCTCATCACAGTGCCTTGTCAGAATTAACATTTTCATATTTAAGAATAAACCAAGAAGTTCTACATGACCAGCATATACAGTCACATCTTGATTTCCATCTTATTTTATTATCCAGACTTTCCAAATGGCATCAGGACTTTTTATGTGGTCCTGAATACCACAGTTCCCCTTCTCTCCTGTATTTGATTACACAGACTCTTGCTTTTCCAGACTTTTTTTCAAGTCCTTACTAGTCCAAGCCTATGTTTTGAAGGTGCAACTGTATTCAAACTGGTCATAAACTTTCTCCAAACAAGCAGCACAACCACAAAGTACTGGTAAGTTACTGATTTTGCTGCAGTTTAAAGAAAGACTCATTGATATAATTTTGTGGGAGTAAATACCAAAATAAATCATTTGGTTTGAATGAAACAAATAAATAAATCAAATAAGATGTTACTACAATAGATATATTAACTGTGCAAAACTGATTTTCAGAATAAAGTACTCCAAACTGATTTATATATTCAAATAACATTATAAATAATTGCAGCAAATATTAACATAATGTGCTACAATGCGACATCTGTGCCTCTAGCAAGAATTAACATGTGCTATAACAAAAAGAGGCTAGAACTTACATGTAGATAGCTGGTCGCTTTGTTCAGCTGTAATATCTGAACAAAATTTCAATCCTTAAAACAAATTGTATCAAATGTGCCTTAAATGCGACCATCCTATTAACTGACCATGGAGCATGGTTCAATGTAACTTTTGTCAAAACTAGCTATTGTACAGAATAAATGAATGACTGCTAACAGTAACATAACAACTATTTTATGTAATATGTAACTTTGCTGAATTACCAGCTGGCCCAACCATTAATGATTATAAGCTACGAGCCTGGTAGAGACGAACAAAACTCATCACTGACTAAGTAAGCTTTGCATTTCAGTGAGAATTGAATATATTGACAACAAATCACAAATTCAATAATAATTATAAAGCTAATCAGCTTAGCTAACAGGTCAACCCAGCGTGGGCTCAGTCCAATTTCTTGGAAATTATGCCAAGGTTGCTTTTTACCCAAAACAGATTCAATACTGGAAACTCTCCATCTACAGTGCTGTTAATTAAAATGGTTTAACTTGTCACAATCACTGGATGCTTTCATTATGCCAGAACGACTGGTCAGAGACCAGAGGGCTACCCAAGGAAAAATGGAATGACATTTTCTGATCAAACATTTTTTTTCCTTTTCAAAATTCCCTACATAACTGAAATCTACTGAAGAGAAGTAGGGCAATGAACCTCTTTGTCAAAATGGAATGGCAAACTTCGGTTGGACCGGCAACTTTTCTGACACCTCTAGCTTAAAACTCCTAAAGACTAAAGGATCGATAGGCCACGCTTTCATGGTTTGTATTCATACTGAAAATCAAAATCAAGTGAGCTAAATATTCCGGTTGGAATGAGCTGAAACAGATCTTTCCATTTGACTTCTGACCGAAATTTCCAGAATCTTTGGCATAATGGAAAGCACACACTGACAAGACAAAAAATCTAGAACTAAACAATGGTGACTGCCCATTTGCACACAGCAAAATATAATCTATGTTGTAATATTATCATTCATTTGAATGTACACTTCATTTCACCTATGTGATGCAAATAATCATTGCATTTACTACTCTAATATAATCAAAATACAATTTTCAAGATAAAACAACTATGTCAATCAGCAATTGTTAGTCGTGGGCAATTTTGTCACAAATAAGATGACTGAATTTATCCCTTATGCTTGTAAATTAATAATCAAGCTACATAAAAAAAAAAAAAGCAAAATTCCACAACTAATGACTACCACTTTCTCTCCTATTCAACGTAATTTGTAACATTTTTTTTAATGGTTTGACACTTAAAAGCTGTCCAGGCAGTGTTAATTTTTGTAATAAAAAAAACCTTTGCCTTTGGTAGCTTAAATTTAGTGGAATCGTCATATTGATCATGAAATTCAGTTACACATTACCTAATAAAACAGGTATTATCTATCACTCTAACAGACCGTATTCGTATTTCTCGGTGTTTATTTATTGTTATTTTAAAGATTCCCCTGAGGCAGGTGGGCACAGAAAAGAACACTAGGTCCCCTTCTAGATAAACCCACCAACCATCACCCTAAAAAATTGGTAACCCAATCCCTAGCTTGCAATAGAGGCTCGTGTGGAGGAATATCATTAAAAACAGACTAAGATGGAATCCACCAGAGGTTCGAGTAACAAGTGGACACAAACCTAGTACCAAGATTATTTACATTGTATTGCAAGCTTCTGTATGACTGTTTTAAATATCTTCTAGCAACACCAAACGTTGAAAACGAATGTTGAACTTCATATGAAATACTTGAATGTACTGGTGAATTGAAACTGATAATGAAATTTTGCCTGTGTTTGCACAAGTTCTCTGAACTTTGAAATTTATCTTCTCTCATTCCCGTAGGAAATTGTTTTCAGTGTTATTTCAGGCAATTATTTATGTATTTAGCTTTAAGAAAATGTAAAAATGACTGTAAAATACTTAAAATTATTCTGCTACCAGATTTTGGTCCACTAAATCCTGAAATTGCTTGATTTTCTATCGGATTTTGTCTTAGTGTCATTTGCGTTTGAAAAGAATGCTGCATTAGCCTCAGTTGCAAGCTAGTTCCAGTCCAATGCTGAGAATACAACTATGGTCTATTAGTATTTGCATTATTCTCAAATAATACTAACGATACATTTCCATTCACAGCATTTAACTCACAACTGGAAATGACAAGATCTAAAATCCATTAGAACATTTTTATATAAAAATAGATTCATACAAAATACAAAATGAAACTGTTTCAAAGAGAAAACCTTTCAATTTATCAAAATACAAAGCACTGCTAAAAAGCAGAATTTTTTTAAACAAAAGCTCTTGGTTTATAAAAAAGTACACGTTATATTTTTAAAGAAAATAGCTTACTTCTTCGCAACTTTTCACAATTGAAAAAAACAGAGCGCCTGACTGCGTGTTAGAAAAATAATCATGTTAGACTCTCCAAAGCATCACAAAATTAATGCCGGTAATGTACTGTCAACTTCAATGTCATAACAATATCTGACTACAACACCAGCAAAATTGGTATTTTCAGTGCAATTTCCTGTAATTAACTGGCAAAATTAGTAACATAATTTGCCATAAAAAATGCCTACAAATATTATTATAATAACGCAAGATAGTGGCAGCAAATATTACTAAGCACCCATTTATACACCTGGGTGGAGAGAGGCACTGTGATAGTAAAGTGTCTTGCCCAAGAACACAACACAATGTCCCTGACCAGGGCTTGAACCCGGACTGGTCAATCCGGAGGTGAGCACAACAACCATGCGGCCACTGTGGCTCCCAAAAACATCAAATACTAAGGAATAATAATTATTAGCAATTTACAGATGAAAAAACTATTAATTATTACTAGTACATAATAATTAATAATTAATTCAATGTAAAATACAAGATTATTGTAGCGCACCTGTCATGTATGTTAGTACGTAGTTTATAATATGCCAAGTGTTAAGTAATTAGTCTCAAGCTGGAACATACAAAAACAAAACTGCTGATAAAAATTATGCTTACAAAAAGTATTTTGTATGAAAGAAACATGTTCAAAAACATGTTCACAAGCCTGCAAATAACAGTTGGTCATCGGACAATTGTCTGGTAAATTTGAGGTTTTGACNAAAAAGTATTTTGTATGAAAGAAACATGTTCAAAAACATGTTCACAAGCCTGCAAATAACAGTTGGTCATCGGACAATTGTCTGGTAAATTTGAGGTTTTGACAGGTAAAAACTTAGCCTGGTCGGACACTGACTGGGCATTTCTGCTAAATGAAAAAGAATTTGATTGGAAACTTGTTGCTGAATATGGAACGAGTTATTTTATTATATTGCCACACAATACTACGCAAAAAAGCTTGTGATCAGTTTCATCTTTACTCCATATCTGAGAATTCTATCACGCCCAAGGTGTTGTCTCAAATGTCACGTCAAATTGCAGACATGCCACATCAGCTCCACTATTCAGGCTATGTGTTAATTTACCCATTTTGCAGTGGTGTCTTGAAAGATTGTGAAGCCCCATTTAGTCTGAATTACATTTGTCTGAAAAACTACTTAAATCTGAGGTCTTATACATGTATGTTGTTACTCATTGTTTGTTATCTGCCAGTGTTGTGGAATTAATTTTCTGTCGTAATTTGACCCGACTAAAATATTATGCAAATTGTATACACAGTCCAAATTTTCACGTTTTGTTTATCTGAATGCAATCGCTTTCAAAAAGTTTAAAACCTCTAAAACTAAACCAAATGTATTTCCAGTCCATATGATCCAAAATCAGTTAGCTTTTTACAGTTTTTTTTAAGTCTGTGGTTCAATATATTTTGAATTAGTTTCTGCGCCACAGACATGTTTTTTCAAAAGTGTGAATGTACAGATTAGTCATGCTAACTATGCATATTTTTTTATTCAATTGACCCCAAAAATTTTCAAGGGAAACTTGCCTTAAGAAAAAGTCGAAGAATTCATTTCAGCCAATTTTATTTTCAAGTCTCTGAATGTTATTGTGAATGAGTTATTAAACTGACAAGCTGTCCACGCGTGAAACTTGTTACGCGGGAAATATGGAATACACATGTGACCAATTGAGTGAAGGGAAACTAGGGGTATAAACGTTTGTAAATTTGTCAATTTTCAACAGGTAAAATAATACCTGACTTGATGTAAAGGTCCCCTTTGTGGTGCTAGAAATTTCCAGAATCTTTGGCATAATGGAAAGCACACACTGACAAGACAAAAAATCTAGAACTAAACAATGGTGACTGCCCATTTGCACACAGCAAAATATAATCTATGTTGTAATATTATCATTCATTTGAATGTACACTTCATTTCACCTATGTGATGCAAATAATCATTGCATTTACTACTCTAATATAATCAAAATACAATTTTCAAGATAAAACAACTATGTCAATCAGCAATTGTTAGTCGTGGGCAATTTTGTCACAAATAAGATGACTGAATTTATCCCTTATGCTTGTAAATTAATAATCAAGCTACATAAAAAAAAAAAAAGCAAAATTCCACAACTAATGACTACTACTTTCTCTCCTATTCAACGTAATTTGTAGCATTTTTTTTAAGGTTTGACACTTATAAGCTGTCCAGGAAGTGTTAATTTTTGTAATAAAAAAAACCTTTGCCTTTGGTAGCTTAAATTCAGTGGAATCATCATATTGATCATGAAATTCAGTTACTCATTACCTAATAAGACAGGTATTATCTATCACTCTAACAGACCGTATTCATATTTCTTGGTGTTTATTTACTTTTATTTTAAAGATTCCCCGTGAGGCAGGTGGGCACAGAAAAGAACACTAGTTCCCCTACTAGGTAAACCCACCAACTAACCATCACCCTAAAAAATTGGTAACCCAATCCCTAGCTTGCAATAGAGGCTCGTGTGGAGGAATATCATTAAAAAAAGATTAAGATGGAATCCACCAGAAGTTTGAGTGACAAGTGGACAAAAACTTAGTACCAAGATTATTTACATTGTATTGCAAACTTCTGTATGACTGTTTTAAATATCTTCTAGCAACACCAAATGTTGAAAACAAATGTTGAACTTCATATGAAATACTTGAAAGTACTGGTGAATTGAAACTGATGATGAAATTTTGCCTTTGTTTGCACAAGTTCTCTGAACTTTGAAATTTATCTTCTCTCATTCCCGTAAGAAATTATTTTCAGTGTTATTTCAGGCACTTATTTATGTATTTAGCTTTAAGAAAATGTAAAAATGACCGTAAAATACTTAAAATTATTCTGCTACCAGATTTTGGTCCACTAAATCCTGAAATTGCTTGATTTTCTATCGGATTTTGTCTTAGTGTCATTTGCATTTGAAAAGACTCCTGTATTAGCCTCAGTTGCAAGCTAGTTCCAGTCCAATAATGAGAACACAACTACATTTGTATGGTCTATTAGTATTTGCATTATTCTCAAATAATAATAACGATACATTTCCATTCACAGCATTTAACTCATAACTGGAAATGACAAGATCTAAATTCCATTAGAACATTTTTATATAAAAATAGATTCATACAAAATACAAAATGAAACTGTTTCAAAGAGAAAACCTTTCAATTTATCAAAATACACAGCACTGCCAAAAAGCAGAATTTTTTAAACAAAAGCTCTTGGTTTATAAAAAAGTACATGCGTTATATTTTTAAAGAAAATAGCTTACTTCTTCGCAACTTTTCACAATTGAAAAAAAAGAGCGCCTGACTGCGGGTTAGAAAAATAATCATGTTAGACACTCCAAAGCATCACAAAATTAATGCCGGTAATATACTGTCAACTTCAATGTCATAACAACATCTGACTACAACACCAGAAAAATTGGTATTTTCAGCGCAATTCCTGTAATTAACTAGCAAAATTAGTAACATAATTTGCCATAAAAAATGCCTACAAATATTATTATAATAACACAAGATAGCGACAGCAAATATTACTAAGCATCCATTTATACACCTGGGTGGAGAGAGGCACTGTGAGAGTAAAGTGTCTCACCCAAGAACACAACACAATGCCCTTGACCAGGGCTTGAACCCGGACTGGTCAATCCGGAGGTGAGCACAACAATCACGTGGCCACTGTGGCTCCCAAAAACATCAAATACTAAGGAATAATAATTATTAGCAATTTACAGATGAAACAACTATAATTATTACTAGTAAATAATAATTAATAATTAATTCAATGTAAAATACAAGATTATTGTAGTGCACCTGTCACGTACGTTAGTAGGTAGTTTATAATATGCCAAGTGTTAAGTAATTAGTCTCAAGCTGGAACATACAAAAACAAAACTGCTAATAAAAATTATGCTTACAAAAAGTATTTTGTATGAAAGAAACATGTTCAAAAACATGTTCACAAGCCTGCAAATAACAGTTGGTCATTGGACAATTGTCTGGTAAATTTGAGGTTTTGACAGGTAAAAACTTAGCCTGGTTGGACACTGACTGGGCATTTCTGCTAAATGAAAAAGAATTTGATTGGAAATATGTTGCTGACTATGGAACGAGTTATTTTATTATACTGCCACACAATACTATGCAAAAAAGCTTGTGATCAGTTTCATCTTTATTCCATATCTGAGAATTCTATCATGCCCAAAGTGTTGTCTTAAATGTCATGTCGAATTGCAGACATGCCACAGCAGCTCCACTATTCAGGCTATGTGTTAATTTACCCATTTTGCGGTGGTGTCTTGAAAGATTGGGAAGCTCCATTTAGTCTGAATTACATTTGTCTGAAAACTAATTAAATCTGAGGTCTTATACATGTATGTTGTTACTCGTTGTTTGCTATCTGCAAGTGTTGTGGAATTAATTTTCTGTCATAATTTGACCCGACTAAAATATTATGCAAATTGGATACACAGTCCAAATTCTCATGTTTCGTTTATCTGAATGCAATCGCTTTCAAAAACTTTAAAACCACTAAAACTAAACCAAAAGTATTTCCAGTCCATATGATCAAAACTCAGTTAGCTTTTTACAGTTTTTTTTATGTCTGTGGTTCAATATATTTTGAATTAGTTTCCGTGCCACAGACATGTTTTTTTGAAAAGCGTGAATGTACAGATTAGTCATGCTAACTATGCATATTTTTTTTATTCAATTGACCCCAAAAATTTTCAAGGGAAACTTGTTTTTAGAAAAAGTCGAAGAATTCATTTCAGCCAATTTTGTTTTCAAGTCTGTGAATGTTATTGTGAATGAGTTTTAAAACTGACAAGCTGTCCACACGTGAAACTTGTTACGCGGGAAAATATGGAATACACATGTGATTAAGTGGGTGAAGGGAAACTAGTGGTATAAATGTTTCTAAATTTGTCAATTTTCAACAGGTAAAATAATACCTGACTTAATGTAAAGGTCCCCTTTGTGGTGCTAGTATTAATTTTACACTCAGTTGACTTTACTTTTAAGCCATTTGAATTTGCAACCAACATTTTGGCGAAGGGTCTACACTGAAATACCAAAATGTCTCAAATGTCTCTTATATTTAGTTTCTAACAACAAAAAAAATTTGTCTGACCAGACCGCCTTTTGTCAGGTCAAACCTTGTCCTTGGCCTGACAAATAACCTGCTTATAGACAAAAATTATTTGCAGGCTTGTGTTCAGTGTTGCTCATTACACATCTACTTCACCCCTGCTTTTTGGTGTTGTGAGATAAGGCTTTAAAATGGCCAAGGCATCGTCTCGTTCAAGTTGCTGTATTAAACGGTACAACTCAAACACTGTTGCGCCACTTTTATGCTCCCAGTCTTGTAGAAGTCTTTGTGTAGCTTCCGTTGGTGTCAACTCCAGGTTCTGTGTGAAGGAGGTACTGTACCCCATCAGTCCTGCAAGGTACTTCCAATTCCTTCCTTGTTTGGCATTCAAATAAGTTGCCAAATCTTCTGTTACAGAAGCAGGCAAGCTGCTAAATTTCCTATTGTTCTCTGACAAAAATAGAGTAAACAAGTTAATGTATTACAAAGAGCACGAAATGATTATTATTATCGTAAAACACATTATAGTTCCGCTTATCAGATTAAGATTACGGCCTAAGAACAGATGGAGGCATTATGACACCAGCAAGTGAATGTATGTGGTCACCCTCCGGGAAATGGGAGGTGGCCGCTTAAAAGGGGTTGGCCACTTAATAGAGGTTGGTGCACTTTTTCACCCACTTAGTTGTGACAAAAAAATGGCTAGAGTGCGGCAAGCTGATGGCTCAACAAATTTTAACCTGATTTGACCCTGGCAAAAAATCTGCAGTTCTACGACTTGTAAAAAATTGGCTAGTGTGCAGCAGCCTTAAAGGGAAAACAGAGAAAGGCCAAGCATTACTTCAAGTGCATTGACTGAAATTAGAGCAGTCATTCATCACTATCTAACCTGTGCTCCACTGAGCTGAAACATACACATTTTGCAAGACAGCAAATTCATGTCTGCCAACAAAATGTTTGAAGCGAAGGCCAAGCTATTTATGAAAGAAAATGATGTGAAACCAAAACACAAATCATCTATCCAGTCAGGAGACAGATAGAAATTGAATTGATACTTCATGGAAGGGCAGAACAAGGATGGCCTTGTAGCATCATTTGCACTCTCGTTTTGCTCGGGCCACAAATAAACTATATGCCCTCCAAAAGTCAAGTGATTGTCCTATTCATGTCACCAATCTGACTTAATATTGTAAAAGGAAATTAAATGTATTGTGACTGACAGTAACATAAAAACATAAAAATATTCTACCTCTGATAAGTAACTCTGACTTTGGTTTAGCAATGGTAGCAACTGCAAAAAGAGAAAAGAAGAAGTTCTGTTACCCTAAATGCAAGCTTGCCACTTCACTGTGAACCACCACCCTCCATCTCAGGGTTACCCCCAGCATTAAGTTTGCTAGTACCCTTTTATACACCTGGGTAGAGAGAGGCACTGTGAGAGTAAAGTGTATTGCCCAAGAACACAACGCAATTTCCCAGGGCTGGAACCTGGACTGCTTGAACCGGAGATGAGCACGCTAACCATGAGACCACCGCACCTACCACAACAACAGAAATTGGTATAAATTTACAAGCGTTCTATCACGAATGCCATTCTCTGATTGGCTACACTACTCATTATCTATTCTGTAGTAGAGAGTGAGTGGCCTCGCAGTGTGCGCTTGTTAACAAACTGGCCGCTGCCTCTTTGTGTTTTCAAGGTGTCTGTGAAGAGGATTAAGACAAAGTTTTGAACGACTTAGTAGATTTATACTAAAACAAATGGATTATTTGCTCTTGATTTCTGTACATGATAGTTGACTTGGGCGGCACCCTCACAATAGAAATCTTGATCTCGTGATCTAATTATTTCAAAATATAGACAACAATTGAAGAAACTATCAGATTTACAGACTATAGATGGAACATGCTGAGAGTTAACTTAACTTGATTGAAACACAGAAAGTTGTTTTGGAAACACACCTTTGCCTGCAGTTGGAGTTGGAGTTGGAATCTTGTGTTTGGAAACAAATTTCTTCACTTTTGACCATGTTAAAAGGAAAACAATACAAAACAACAGAGCAACAAGAACTAAGAGGAACCATGCCACACCATCACTAAATGTCTGGGGTTCACAAGAATGTGGTACCTTGCTTGCATCATCTAGATAAAAAAAAAGATAATAACATTCTGGTAACTCTTTTCTGGTTAATTTGTATAAGTACCGGTGATTATTTGATCAAGCGCCCAACCTCAAATAAGCGCCCACCCCCTGCTACCCTCTGCATTCAAGAAAATGATCCATTTGCTGTAGTTATGTTGTCAGACTTCAAGGAGGCAGCACCAGAGAGTTTGCTAATTGACCTTAGTGACAATGAGGTAAGATGAAACTTTTCATGAAGAGCTAAAATTCTGCTTTGGCACAACTTCACATTTTGTTATTAAATATCGTTTTGTTGCAAAATAAACTTACCACTTGCTGAAAATATAACTTAAGTGCCCCGCAGCCTTGAATAAGTGCCCACCTCATGTGCTTAATGAAACACAAGGCATGTGTAAATATTTGCATTGGAAATCCCCCCACTGGTCAGACTATTGTAGGGTTCTCATTAATTCCTGAAGAAGATGGCTGACATTGATTCAAGTAACGAACAGACAAGCCACTAGGAAGTCTGGGGGCATGCTCCCCTAGAAAAATTTTGAAATTGAGAGGCTCTGAAATGCTAAATTATGCATTCTCTCATTGCATTATGCATTCTTTCTCTGCGGACAGCAGCCCCCTAAACCATCCCAATAGTGCACTCTGCACTAAAAAGCTCAAAATGCCAAGAATATTAATTGATTTCAAAGCCTTTTTGCAATTTTTATTCTACAGCACTAGCATAACTGGAAACATACACCACACCCTGACCCCATTCCCCTCTATAGTTACAGCCTTGACTGTCCTGAGACAAGGACAGTCAAGGTTTAGTCACATTCCAAAAAACCTGTGTGTTTCCTAAAGTACTCTTAACAACATATACACATATTATTTCACGAAAAGTAGGTGGCTCAAAAATCAAAGTTTCCAGTTTTTTTAGCCACCTGCCGGCACTAAATGAGAACCCTACTACTGCAAAATAAATGAAATCATACCAAGCAATGAGTTACCTCTCCAGCTTGTAACAAATTTATTGCAAGCTGGTGAGTTGTAATATGTCAATACGTAATATCACCTTTCTCTATCTGAGATCTTGACCCTGTAGTTCCTGAGCTTGGTTCTGGAGTTAAGTTAGCTGGCAATACTGTTGGCATATTGACTTTCTGTGAATGTGGAGAAGCGACAATAATCTGAGCTGTCCTGCAGTCCGTGTCTTTCAGAATTGTGCATTCTGACTTCACAACTTGTCCTTGGCGACAGCGGCTGCAGGTAACACAGATACTGTTCCTGGAGTATTTGCCCTGGAAGAATTGAGGACAAAATAATCACCAAATCAGCAAGGTGTAAGATAATGGCATTCACAAAAAAAAAAAGATTGTTTGGTTTGGAATTATTCAGCAAATCATATTTTGTATCAACAAGATCCATTTGAAAAACAATTTAAATTGATGGTATAATTTCTGTTGTGCACTAATTAACACATTGAGCAATAAATATGGACTTGGCAAGTGCATCTAGATTGTGTTATCCAGATTGTTACTAATATTTCAGTCTCTTCTACACTGATACAGTACAAGGTACAAGATTTTTTGGCAGGAGCTCTGATTTTGTCTGCTAAATGTCCCTTGTTTGATTATAGTGGTACAGGACAAGTCTTGTACTCAGTACCTCCTTTGAACAGGCCAGTGCAGAGACAAAGCTATGTAGACAAAAATTCAAGACTTTAGACAACTATATGTTGAAAACCCAATTGTGTCAATTAGAATGGCAAGGAGAATCAAGATGTTGATAACTGTGGGGATCTAAATTTCTACCTACCTCTGGGCACTTCTCACACTTTGTATCCTCATCTGTTTTACAGGGGGAAGTTGTTTGCTCGCCTGGGCCACATTTTTTACAGTCTTTACACCGTAAAGTGTTACTGTTCCAATATTTATCATCTGGACATTCACACCGACTGTTTGACATTGGTGTGCACGGCTTCAGGATCTTTCCACTAGCACTATCACATTTCACACTTGCACATTTTTCACAAGAAGTGTAGTTGTTTGGTACGGCAGTAAATTGGTCTTTAGGACATGCCTGGCATTCAGTACTGGAATCCTGCCCACAGTCCTTCAGGTGATGTTTGCCCGCTGGGCATAGCAGGCAACATAATCCAGTTTCCTGTGATTTAAACTCGTTCACACCACAAGTATCGACAAAACTAAGACACTGCAAAATATAAAGGCCATAAACAGAAAACTGAAATGGGTATATTGAGAACTACACATATGTGAATGTTTGTCCAAACCCCATGCAGCCGATAATTTGTGACAGAATATTGATCCAACATTTCAAATGCCACTTTTGAAAACCTGCAGACCAATTCCCCTGGTTACATTTTTCACCAGGGGTACTTACCATTTACATGGGAAAACCCGAAATTCCAGTTGGAAAATCAAATGGTTTGTGCCCTTCCATTAGGGAAGCGTCAGAAAATATGGGCTGTGATTCGAGGTGATGCTATTTTTCTGCTCTTGTAAGTCTCTCTAACTGATTTGGATATACTTTATAGCGATTCCTTCTCCCGCAACGTTTATGCCTGAAATTTCCAACCGGATGGTTTTTGTAAATGGTAAGCACCCCAGTGGTACCAGGTTATTGTTGTGGCATCACTACATTGAGCACAAATAAGTGGCTATTTTTCTCAGATTTGTTGTAACAATCATGTGTTTTCAGTGATCTTCTACCTTTCAGTAGCTCTGGACATCACCAGAATTACTTTCAGTAGTCTTTGTAACAATCTTCAAAGCAGGTTGGCAAGTTTTAATGGAGTCAATAACTACCACATTATGATAAATTATCACTTAGTGTGTATGTCAGTGGAAGGTTCAACTAATAACTTAGACTTTCTAAAAGTCCTTTCCTTTTCAATAATTATTTCCTGGCCTTTTGGTTTTACTGTTGGGCGCTCACATAGGATTAAGCAAAGGTCGACTTATGGCAAGTCTACCAACGACTACAATGGAAAAAAAATATTCAGAGAGCAACCTGTCATGGTTATAGTTAAAGTAACAAGTTATTCAGTTTTAGCAGCTGTCTATGTTGCTTCAAGACAACACTCTTTACCTTTGTGACTGAATCACAGAATATTTCACAAAATTTCCAACTGTCTCGGTCAAGTTTACAATGACTATTGATAAGAATTTAATTCTCTCATAATTTATACTGGACATAGTATCACCTGATTAATTTGACTTTTTCAGATTCCATATGAAATTATGCTAAATTGGCTATGCTGACCGTTATTACAGAATATCAGTTAATAAATGAGCATAGAATTATTGCAAATTTAATATGATAATTTAAACAGCAATCTTGTAATGGCAAAAACCTTAGCCTGTGTTTGTCTTTTGAACAAGTGTTGACTTAAGAAGCATCAGTCCAGTCACCAATTAAGATGAATTCTGTAGTTAATACAAAGATGGTGATTGATTCATGCTTGCTTCAAAAACAGACCTCAAGTCCTTGGGCAAAAATAGTCCAAATTCTTTCAAAACAGTCATAATAAACAACGACAAGCAAAAATGTCTTCAAATATATATATATTGTTCATTTGTGACAAGTCACCTTCAGTTGATGATAGTAAAGTTAAAAATACAGACCTTTCAAACTTTGAGTAAGACACGAACACAAAGTACAATAACTTTTATGCGTTCAAGAAAATTAAACTTACACAACTTCTCAATACAATTAAACTGATTAAAGTGTATACAAGTTTACAGACTTGAGCGACAGGAAATGCAAATGGCACAAATAAATTACTTGTTACGTCGATAAGATCAGTATCAACCAACTACTAGGAAACAAAGAAGAAAGCCAGCAAAAATATATCCTCCTTACGAGTTATAGCCCCCAAAAAGCAAAATGCTAATGAATCTCACAGGGACATGCCAGTTCACGTCCCTTGCTGTGAAAGAACAGTCGACCAAAACTTGCTTTCCGAAGCAAAATTTAATTTGTCGTTATGACGTGACACTCTAACAGAGCTCATGAGCTCAAGCCGAAAGCATCTACAACGGTTTTGTGTCGTAACGGATAACTCTTACCCAAACTAAAACAAATCGGTAAATAAGTGGTAATCGATCAAGTGGGTGTGCATATTGAACAGGCAGCCTGCGTGGATTTGTGTCAAGTTTGTGAAGGAATTCACGAGCGGTCGACGGCGAATCCAGTCTCATATCGGTTGCATATTCCCTTGGAATACAGAAGAGATATGAAAGATAGTCGTACTTACCAAGAAAAACGGGAAAAATGCGAAAAGCCAACGCATTTTTTCTACGAACTACATCGCAGGCAGCGTAGACGACATGAAAGGACACCCCAAGGCGAAAGAAATGATGTAGTAGACCGACACAACGCTTCTAACACGTAACGTGATTGGTCAAAGAAAAGCTTGTCCAATGAAAGTGACGGTGAAGGATGAGCAAGCCCAGACTTGTCCCTGCGTAATATTGAAATTTTTTTGCGCTATTGTCTAGAAAAGTCAAAAAAGAAGGAAAATAGAAATAATTATAAACGACAACAGCAAAATGCATTAGAGCAATGAACAAACGTTTAATTAAACAGCGTTGGGTGTAAACTCTTATTCTTCGGCCATTTCAGGTATTTTAATTAATTTTTTTCCGGGAGGCCTGAGAGGGGAAGGGTTCTAAAGTGTTTTCTTAACGAACCTGGAAGACCATACGGAGTTTTACTACATATTTGAGGAATTTCTCAGGATTTTCTTAACTATTTGTAGCATGTGCAGTTTACAGTGGTCTAGGAATAGGTTCCTTGTCTTTCAGCCATGTTACCTCCTGATATTTTTGTTGGGTTTTGTACTAGCCTGTTTCTAAAACCCATACCCAGTTTCAGACCAAGATATGTGATTTTTGATACTTTATTTCAGACTAGACTCAATTACCAGCCGGTGTTCGGGCTTTCAGACCTGACTGAAAAATTAATTAACTATATATTTTTCAGAAATAGTCAATAATCAAAGATATTTGTTCAAACTTTTAATGTACAACCTTACCATGACAATTGTGATCACATTTGTACCAAGAAATGATAGATAAAACTACATACCTTCAGGCTCTTGGCACTTAAAGTGCTACTATGATGAAAATCGCATCCGTCAAATCTGAGCCATTTTAAGACATAAACAAGTAGTCTGTACAGGAGTAAAAATGCTGTTTACTGTTTTCAAATATCTCTTTTCATTCCCGAGATATTCAAGTTTCTAAAATATGCAAGTTAGCCAAGTGATGATGTCATATACTTGACAGAATTTTGATCAAATATGATAAACAAGGATATCTCAGTCAATTTGTATCAGAAATGTTTGATTTTTCACGGTAAGATTCTTCTAGAGGTGCTCCACAATATGAGCTTAACAATTTGGTTACCATGGCAACATACTAGGTTCCAGACCTCCACGATATTAGAGGCTTTCCTGATCACTTTTAGCATTCTATCTTGATATTTACCAATGGTGCCTCATCTACATAAATCCAGCAAGCATAGAAATACGTTAGGTTGAGTTCATTGCCTTGTTTAATGTTTTCCAAGCTTAAAATTACTAAAATATTGAAATCAGGCTAGAGAGGACTGGAAAAGAG